TGGAGGTATTATTTCTAACATCAAAAAATTACCAAGGCTAGCAATGTGACGTAGCGGGTAAAGCTGCGGCTGCAACACTGGCATCCCATATGGGTGCTGGTTCGAGTCCCGGCTGCCCCACTTCCGATCCAGCTCTCTGCTGTGGCCTGGGAAAGCAGTGGAAGACGGCTCAAGTGCTTCAGCCCCTGCACCTGCGTGGAGACCTGGAGGAAGCTCCTGGCTCCTGGCCTTGGATCAGCTCAGCTCTGGCTATTAGGGCCATTTGGGGAGTGAACCAGCAGATGGAAGGCCCCCCCCCTTTCTGCCTCTGCCTCTCTGTAACTCTGACTTTCAAGTAAATAAATAAAATATTTTAAAAAATAAATTACCAACTGGGCTTTTAAAGGGAAACATTTGAGTGCGGGTTATCTAGGGTGTGGACATGTGTCGGCTCCTACCACTCCTCAGCAACAGCCCTGCTTACACTTGAGTGTCCCACGACCACCGCCCCTCCTCCACTCCCCTTTCCCTCTGCCTCTGAGTCTCTGTCTTCCTCCCTCCCAGGCCTCTAATCCCGCCCTCGTCTCCCACCTGCAGCCCCGGCTCTTCCTGCAGCTTGCCTGGGCTGTCAGGATTCCAGGCATCAAACTCCTCTGCTACAAGGTCCCAGAATTGGCCTCTACTCCCACCATCCCCACTGCTCTAACCCATCATCTACCATCCTTCCCAACCCCAGGGCCTTTGCACAGGCTGTTCCCTCTCCCTGGACCCTCCTCCCCCAGGTAGTGCCAAGGGTTTCATTCTCTTATCTTTATACAAATATTACTTCCTAAAGTTTGTGAGAAGTGGAATTAAAAGATAAGCTTACTTTGGTGCAAAAACATTGAAATCCATGTACATAAGTCTTCAAAATTGTACATTGGAAATGGAAAATGAATATTGTAAAAATGCCTATCGTACGTTGTGGTGTAATGGGTTAAGCCACAGCCTGCAGTGCCGGCATCCCATATGGGTACCAGTTTGGGTCCCGGCTGCTCTACTTCCCATCCAGCTCCCTGCTGACGCACCTGGGAAAGCAGCGGAGGATGACCCAAGTGCTTGGGCTCCTGCCACCCATGTGGGAGACCTGATGTGGTTCCTAACTTCAGCCTGGTCCGACCCAGCCCTGGCTAATGCAGTCAGCTGGGGAGTGAAGCAGCGGATGAGAGATCTCTCCCTGTAACTCTGTCTTTCAAATCAATCTTTACAAAGAAAGGGAGGGAAGAAGAGAGTGAATGGGCACACCATTGCTGGGGACCAGTGCTGTGACCCACACTCGATTAGAAACTCCAGGAGCCAGGGACTGCGGCCAAGTGTGCTTACTCCCTGACCTGCAATGTGTGGACTACAGGAGCAGGCTGGTGACCTCTCGGGTGCAGGGAAGCCTCGGGGTTAGCAGTGTTGTGAAGCGTCAACTTCCTTGGCTTATGGGAGGCAAGGCAACCCCCCTCCCCCTTGGCTGGCTGGACAACGGGGACCCTGCCTGGGAGGCGGCAAGGATGTGCTGTCCCCAGCCAGGAAGTCCGAACTCCAAAGCAAGGCAGGTGCGGGCGCCTGACAGATGAAGAGGGAGCCCAGGGTCTGAGAGGCAGGGGGCTGCCCGCCCTAGGCAAGGATCCCCCAGCCACCACTGCTCAAGGCATCGGCCTGCCGATGGACCTCTGCACCTGGAAGGCGGCGCTCGTAGCCGCCCAGGCCCCCACCAGCCTCCGCCAGCCCCAGGTGAGACTCATAAGACAGTGGACGAGAGTCCGGGTGAACTCAGTTCCACGCTATGCTGACAGCAAGAGTGCTACTGTGGCGATGCAGCCCGCCCTGCCGGGGCCTCTGCCTGCAGTGTTTGGCTCAAAATCTTGTCTTGGCGAGGGGGGGGGGGTCTGCCGCGCCCCCAGCCGCCGGGCCCCAGGAGCGTGGACCTGGGCAGAACGCAGTCCTGTGAGCAGGAAGCCCGGCTCCCACCCGCTTCCTTTAATACGCCCCCTGAATGCGGAGCTGGAACAGCAGAGGCAAAGCTGTTCAGATGCAATTATTTCAATCCAGCCAGATGCAGGGGAATTAGTCCCTTTTCCTCGCAAGTATTCTAGGGAAAGACAGCTCAGCCAAAGATGAGCCAGAAGAAGAAAGAGCTGAGGATCTCAGGAGGGAGAGGGGAGAGTGCGCCCGAAATCAAGGCGCCATCCCTGGGTGAGGAGGGGGGCAGTGGAGAGGGAGGGGAGGGGGAGGGGCCCATCCAGTACTGAACCCAGACTGGGAGCTCCTCAAAGGCAAGGATCCTTGCTAGAGCTCCGAATTGCCAAAGCACTCTCATTTTCATTGACTTTGTAAGTGACCACCAGGGAGGACATCCTGAGCCGGGCCAGAGGCTGGGGTGGGGGCGGGGGGGCATCTGAAATTCAGCTTCAACGAACTCAGAGGCCACCTTTCCCAGGCACCTGTGAGGCTCTGTCACCTTCCCCATCTACTTCTACCCTCGCAGCAACCCAATCGGCCCCAACGCACAGGGAGGGCGCTGGGATGTGCGCGCTTAGCTAGAAGTTCTGGTCTATCTGTTCTACAAGCCCCACCTGAGCACCCCAGCCGGCGGCGGCCACAGCCGCAGGAGTCTGCCTCATTACCTGCGGCTAAACCTGCGGTCTGGGGCCAGCCTTTGGCACGGTGGACGAGAGCCTGCTTGGAACTCGTGCATCGCACATCAGAGCGCCTGGGTTGGAGTCCCAGTTTCACTTTGGATGCCAGCTTCCTGCCAGTGCACACCCTGGGGCCCCTGCCACCCACGTGGCAGACCTGGGTGAGTTCCAGACTGCTGGCTTCAGGTGACATGGCCTGGCTGTTGTGGGCACCAGAGGGAAGATCTCTGTCCACCCCTGGCCCCCGGTTGCTCTGTCTTTCAAACAAATAAACTGGAGCTTAAACAAAACAAAACAGACCCTTCTTGGGACACCCTGATCCCATATCAGGCCCCAGCCCTGCCAGTTCCAGCTTCAGCAGGGAGCTGGGTCCCTGCAGCCCACGTGGGAGACTCACATTGAATTCCTGGCTCTCAGCTTTACTGGCCCAGCCCCAGCTGTTACGGGCAGTCGGAGAGTGAACTAGCAGATGAGAGATCTCTGTCTCCCCCCACCTCATGTCTCTCTGTCTCACACACAAATAAAAATTTTAGAAAGACATAGGCCCAGCTGGCCGTAGAACCAGAATGCCGGGGTTCTGTGTGACTTTGGACAAGTCACTTGACCTCTCTGTGCATCAAGTTCTTCATCCGTTAAGTGCAGACCACACTACAGCAGATATTATACATTATATATTGTAACACATCAGATAAATAAATCAACACGTACATCATGTGCTGTGCGTGGCCCAGAATAGTTGCTCAGCCAATGTTAGTTAACACCACTGTAGCTCTACCCCTAGCAGTTCTCAAAGTGTGGACCAGGAACCCTGGGGCCGGGGGAGGTTGTTCCATGAGGCCAAAACTATTTTCATAATGTGAAGGTCTTCAAAAAGTTCGGGTAGGAGCCAGTGTTGTAGCACAGAGGATGAAGCTGCTCCTTGGGGTGCCCACACCCATACAGGAGTGCCCGGTTCCAGTCCTGGCTGCTCCACGCTTCCAATCCAGCCCCATGCTAATGGGCCTGGAAGGCAGGAGATGATGGCCCCAGTCCTTGGGCCCCGGGCCACCCACATGGGAGACCCAATGGCTTGGCTTGGTGCAGCCCTGGCGGTTGTGGCCGTTTGGAAAGCAAACCAGCAGATGGGAGATGTGTGTGTGTGTGTGTGTGTGTGTATGGCTCTGCCTTTCATATAGATGAAAATAAACTTTTTAAAAAGGTCGTGTAAAATATGTACTACGTAAAAGCTATATGTGGGTTTCCTTTTTTTTTTTTTTCACCAGAATAAAGCTTATCTTTTAATTCCATCTCCTCACAAACTTTCGGAGTCCCCTCCTCACGCCCAGGCAGAGTGGCAGAGGTCATTGCCAAGGGCACCGCACGGACTGCAGAGCCGGCCAGAGCGCGCCAGACGCCGGAGAGCGCCGCGGAAATGTTAACCGAGGCCTCTCGCTGGAGGACCATCACTTTTCAAAAACCGTGTTGCGTTAACCCATGGTGGCTTCAATTACTGTCGTGTTCCAATGAAATGACAAACCTGTTTTTGGAATTTTGTTTTAATTGCTAACCTGGCACATATGGAGAGCTGACAGAAGAGCTGCCCTTACGCCTCAGAAAAGCTCGTGTCCCCCCCGCCCCGCCCCGACGTCACCCCTTTGTCTCCTCCTCTCCCGGCCACGTCCCCACCTGCGGCTCTCAGTTCAAGCCCGGGTTCTAGAATCGGGCTGACCCGGATTAATCCGCGACTGTGCCACTCCCTGCGCTTGAACAGGTGACCTGGCTCCTTCTCAGCCTACTGGGGAGCACTCCCGGAGCTACCTCTCAGGATGATGGCCGGGATGGATGCTAACTTAGGCACAACGCCCACCTCTCAGCAGACAAGAACCATCGCCGCGGTGATGTCTCACGGTTACGAGCCGTGGGGTCGGCCCTTTGCTGCCCGCCTCTCCTGCTTCTCCGAGACACAGAGCAGCAAAGCCAAGGGCTGCCTGGGGTTACAGACGCCGGCTTCCCAACACACACGCACTCTCCCTCCCTCCCTCCTCCCCCGCCCAGAGATAAAAGTGAAAAATGACGGCTAAATGTCAAGTGCCCAGGCTCCCTGTAAGACTGAAAAGGCCCCTCGGCTGCCAGTGTTCCTGCCAAGGCAGCCTTGGCTGGAGGACAGTAGGTGGGGGCGTGGGCGGGGGGGGGGTGCTGGGCCCGTTCCTCCCACCCCCTCACCTTGCCCAGGTCTCAGTCTGCTCACTGTGAGGGGGAGGGGGCGCCAGGGCAGAATTGGATGGTCGGCTGCCCCGGGCTCCCTCCAGGCACACACAGGGGCCCAGGTCACAGAGTGCCCCCCCCCCCCCCCGTAGGGCTCCCCCTGCCACTCACCCTACAGTTGCTGAGCTCCTCGGCAGACAGGATGATGGTGCCACATTTCTTCCCTGGGACACCACTGGGAGAGAAGACGAAAGAATGCAAAGCCAGACAAGACAGACCCACACCTGAGCTTCCTGAATCTGCTCCTCCCGCCCCTCCCCTGCATCAGCAAAGCCCCTGAGGAGACAGAGGCCCCCTGAGACCCTGGGGCACTGCTTCCTGGGGGCCAGGCCCCAGCCTGGGCCGCGCCCCGCCCTGCTCCCTGGGCCACCTCCAGGGAAGGCAGTGTCTCCTAGCATCACAGACGTGTCCAGACTCACCCGGAGGCTTCGGGACCAGGGGTTCTCAAACTTTCCATCCATAGACCACTTCTGCGGGAAAAGACCTCGTGGGCTCGCCACCCCCGCCCCCCGCACCCAGCTGAGCCCAAGTCCCAGAGCGGCGCAGCTTGGAGCCTATGGGGTTCACCACCCATGGCAGGGAGGGCAGCATAAGGGGGAGCAGGGGCTGGCACGCTCCATGGAGGAGGGGAAGGGCCTTGGCCACCCCTTCTTGAGTTCCTCTGCTGGGGTCTCCCTGGGCGTGAGTGAGACCACAGCCAACCAAAGAGGTTGGTCCCCTCCGGAGAGCAAGCATCCAGCCAGTGGCTCCAGCCAGGGGCGCTGCACCACCTCCTCCCTGGTCAGGCTGGACACCCTCCCCCAGGGACCAGCCCACCGCACGCCTATGATGTCTGGGCCTAGGCCAGAGGGGGTCCCAGTGCAGCCAGGGGCCACCAGCAGGGGACGAGCAGCTGCAGGGCTGTGGGCTCACTCCTCCACCTCGCTGAGCCTCAGTACCCTTGCCCATGAAGTGGACATGACTGCAGCCCACCCTTTATTAACAAGCACACGTGATGCCCACATGGAGAGGCCCTCGGGGCCATCACTGCCCGTGCTGCACCTCTGCATCGCCACAGTGCAAGGCCAGCCCTGCCCTAAGGCAGCCGGCGGCCGCCAGCATCTGTCCATGGAACACACTTTGAGAACCACTGGTGGGGTTCCTCCCGGGGCCAGAGGTTGCAGGGGAGGAAGCCGAGACAGCCCAGATCTCTCCGGATCCGGGGAGCAGAGCAGGGTCCACCTCGAGCCTCCCCGGCTGCAGGCAGGAGGCAGTGGCCAGCAGCGCGCCCGAAGCTTAGCAGCTGAGACTGCCCAGAGCCCTGCCCACCCGCTGGCCTGCTCCCCGTGGTAGTGAGCCAGGATGTGTTTGACCAGGGAGACAGAATCTTTGATGCCGGCCCCCTCCGCCCGGCTCTCCATCTGTTCCCCTCCTGCCTCTGAGTCCTTCTTCTATTTCCGATCTTTCTTTGCCTCCTCTCCAGCCCCAACCTGCTCCCGCCTGCCTGGCCTCACCGCCCCTGCCTTGGCTTCTCTCTCCTGCCTCTGCAGCGCTCTCACGCCTGTCCCCTCGCCAACTGCCGCTCATCCACTCTCCCTGTAGACTGGCGGCCACACTCGCCCTGGGCGGCAAGCATCCCTGGAGACCAACCCAGCGGCCAGGACCCCAGCGCCTGGGGCTCTCGGAGAAGCCAGGGGAGCGCCGCATACCCAGCCATGCCCTTCTGCCACAGGGCCCTCCAGGAAGCTCCCCCAAAGCAGTGCCTGCCCGCTGCCCAACCTGTAGCAGGCATGGGAAGCCAGCGTGGGGACTTGCTAGCCAGGGGGGAGGCATGGGGAGGATTTGTTGTTCCCATTTGCAGCCAAAGCACACAGATGACAAGCCCAGGTAAAGGGGAGGGGGGCGTTCAGTGGGACCCAGTGTGCTGGGCCAGTGGCTGGTGGCCAGCAGTGAACATGGGAGTTGAGGGGAAGTGGAGGGGGAGCGCCCAGGCCAGGGAGAGAGGAAGGGAATGGAGAGTGCAGGTCCTGCTGACCCCTGGAGAAGTCCCGCCCTGCCCCCCATGGTCCCAATAGCATGGAGAGGGGGACATGGGGAGTTGGGGGAGTGCGGGGTGGGGGTAGGCTCTCAAGATGCTCAAGCAGCAGGCTGGGTGCAGGGAGGAGCCAACTGCACAGTGGGGGGCTCCATCCAGGGCACCCAGGTCTCTGTGGGGGCACCTAGGACCCTCCCTGCCCCCTGGGCCCAGACTACTCAGGGTTCCCCCCGCAGAGCTGGCTGCGTGTTTGAGGGCTCCAGGTCCAGAGCCGACTGGTGACTCACCCGTTGGACACGGCTGGCATGGGCTTGCCCGTCCTGGCGTTCAGGCTGAATGCGCCTATCCTGTGGAGAGAGAGGCAGACAGTCCCTGTCACCAGCCATCTGCCCCATCCGGCGAGGCCAGAGCCCCCGCACTTGCGTGCCTGGAGCCCAGTGGCTGATCTGGAGATCTGTGAAGCAGGACCGAAAGGCCCTGCCCCGGGGCCAGGCGACGGGGAGCTTTTCCACACCAACTACTCTCAGAGTGGGGTCCGCGGAGCGGCGGCGGCAGCCCCCCAGGAATGTTAGCAAGGGGGGCTCCCAGGCCCCTGCAGCTGCTGGATGGGAAACAAGGCCTCCCGCCGACCGGCTGCGGGGGCGCTTTCAGCACCACCTGGAGACCGGCTGGGGCCTCCGCGCCCAGGCTGCGACATGGGCAGACGGCCGGGTGGCGCGTGTTCCAGGCTGGTTCGTGTCCCCCACATTCCTGAGCGGAAGTTCTCACCGCCGGCCTGAGAATGGGGCTGTACTAGGAGACAGGACCGAGGCCATGAGGGTGCGGTGGGGCCCTGGGCAGAGTCTGACTGCTGTCCCTCTAAGGAGAGCTCGGCACACACACACACCCTCCCCACGGGTGCAGGGGACAGGCGGGGGCCATCCACAAGACATGCAGACAGGCCTCTGCAGAAACCATCGCAAATGAAAAGTGTCAGGGACATGCCCCAGGACGGGGGAGGCCAGAGCAAATGTGAGCATGAGATTCATCTCCTCTTCCCTGCACAGGCCCTCAACTCCTACCAGCTTCCGAGTGCCCGCCCCAAAGTGTAGCTTCCCCCACACCGTGCTTGATAAATGATCAAATGACAGCTCTTAGGACTTCCTGGGAAGCCAGATGAGACCTTATGGAGGGGGGCAAGGAGAACTTTCTAGGAGCCCTAAGTTACCACACTATTACTGGGGATCACAGAATAGGGCCTAGGAGACAGACTACACACACGCGTGCACACACACGTATACATGCACGCACACACATGTGTATATGTGTGACACTCACGTGCGTACACACGTGCATGTATGCACACACATATGGGTATACACACACTGTGTATACCATGTCCAGCGGGAATGTGGCAGAAGCACGGGGGGCTGTGCCTGGCCCAGCCTGATCCCCCTGTCCTGCCGGCTCTGCCCTGTCCCAGCTGCTGCCTGGGTCCTGCCCCAGGGGCTTCCTGAGACACAGGTACAAGTGCCGTCACCCCAGCACCCGGCCAGCCCTGGCTGGGCCCTGAAGTCACCCTCAGGCTCTGCTGTGAGAAGCCTTGGAATTCCTTACCCTGGAGCCTGCTCAGAGGAAAAGCTCCTGGGGGTCCTACACGCAACAGCGCACCGGGCCGAGGCCGGAAACAAGCGGGGAAAAGCGGAGGACGGGACCGTGTGAGTGCCCTGCTCTCCCAGGCGAGCGCTCGCTTCAGCGACAGGCTGGGAGCAGGAGTGGACTGGACAGCGTCTCAGGCCTTCCCGGGCGCCTGGGGCTCTGGGCACTCAGCCTGCGTCCCTCCACGGTCACAGGGCTAGAAGTCCTAGTGGGCAGGGGCTGTCCTCACTCCTCCCCCTGCAGACCAGCCCTCAGCAAGGTGAGCAAAAGCTTGTCCATCACTGGGGAAGCTTCTACACTTACGTGAGGGGCTTCTCCAGGCGGCTCCCCGGGGACCCCACAATCTCTCCGAGGGTGCAGAAGGCCTGGCCCAGGAAATCCTGTATATCCAGGGGACAGGGAGACCAGTGTCACCCTCGCAGCTCACAGCCATCCAGGCTGTCCCATCCCCCCGCCTCGGACCCCGAGACGTCAGACACGCCCGACGCCCACCCCCAAACACAACACTGCAACAAACTCCCCAGCGGCACTGGGCAGTCCCCGTCGGAACTCACGTGTTTGGATAAGTCGGGGCTCTTGGAGTCAACGTCGTATCTGCAGGGACACAGAGACACAGTGAGGGCAGCTGGGGGCGCTCTGCCCTCCCACACTGCCAACAGGCTCCAGCTCAGTGGATCTTTGTCGGAGCCACGGCTGGAGGGCACAATGGGAGCCTCTGGTGCTGGACACGTCCTGTCTCTCGATCTGCTACGTGGACGGTGGCCACATGGTATAAATGGCCAGCCACGTGCATCATGGGTGGACGTTGACAGCTGTGCCCCTCTCTGTGCCTAACCTCGCTCCAAACAGAAAGACGAGAAACATGGGCTCTGCTGCCCCGGATGGCTCCTCACTCCCGGTTTTCCATCTTCCTGGCCACGGCTGGCCCGCCCCAGGAGCTCAGGGCTCTGCCTCTGAGCTTTGCTTCCTGCTTCGCCTTGTCCAGGTCCACCCAGCCCGTCTCTGGGCCTGGTCACCCAAGGAGGGGAGGCATTGACACCTTCCCCAAAGCTGTGAGCAGGCAGTCTGATCCTGCACCTGGGCTTCTCCACTCCCCTGCAGGCCCTCCCCTGCAGTCCCCTCCCCTACAGCCCCTCCCCTGAAACCCCTCCCTGCAGCCCCTCCACTACAGCCCCTCCCCTACAGCTCCCTCCCCCACAGCCCCTCCCCTGCAGCCCCTCTGTCTGTTTCTCAGCCCAACAGCCCTTCTGGGCCCCGAAGACTCCTGCCCAGGTCAGCCACCCTCTCCCCAGCTGGCTGCCCCAATCACTTCTCTCCTCGAAGCGTCCCCAGGCCCTTTCTCTGCAGCGGGTAGCCGACCCCCCTCAACCTCTGTTCCTCCCACCGCTCCATCCAAAGTCTTTTCCTTCCACTGTAGTTTGTCCTTAATCCCTCTGAGCCAAGCCCCCTTTTTCCCACCCTGTCCAGTTTCTCCAGGACACAGAACTTTCTAGCCATGCCACACCCCTATACACGACAACACAACTCCCCTGCCTGTTTGCCCAACCTCGCTCCCACCCTGACCTTGAACATCACGAGAGGGCTCTGTCCATCTTCCTGATGAACACACAGATGCCTTGGGTGCTATGGCCCCGTTGCCTCTGCACGAGGCGGGACTGGAGGGGACCTCTGCCCAGGACGTGCAGGGGACAGAGTGAGTGGGGACCTCCCAGTTCCACCAGGAGAAGAGGGCTCCTGGAGGTAGAGCCTGGAGTCGCCCCAGTGGACACTCCCCATGGCCAGGAGCTCACACTTTGTCCCCTAGTGAACGCAGACAAACGGGGGTACCTGCCGTACCGTGCCCTGGTCAGTGTGGGGGAGACTTCCGCAGCCGTCACTTTTATCCCGGGCCAGCCCTGGCTCCCCCTCCTTCCTGGAGACAGCCCTCCCCCGCCCCAAGCACTGGGCGCTGCCATCCACTCACAGATCGAAGCGGAGGTTCTGCTTCTCCTCGAAGAAGTAATCCACGACGAACTTGCGTACAAAGTCAGGGTTGAGCGTGTTGTCGATGACTTCGGTGCGGCCAAACTGCAGGACAAGATGGGCGTGGAACTTGGGGCCGGGCGAGGGGGCAGGGGCGAGCACCAGGCTCGGAGCCCCTGCTTCCTGCCCGGCTCCCGCAGCTACAGAAGCCGGGCCTCTCTGAGCTCCTGACCCCAGGCTGCCCCTAAGCAAGGCAGAAGCACCTGGCCCTAAGGATGGGAACCAGGCGCATCGCAGCTCCAGCCTACCTGTGCCTCCACCACTTCCTGCCTCACTGCCTTTGCAATGCTGTGCCCTGTATCGGCCTCCCCTTCCCTGCCAACTGTGAATGCTGCCTCCTCCAGGAAACCTCCCTGATTTCTCTGGGCCTGCACTGAGCTCGCGCCCACCCTGTGACCAGCACTCCTCTCTGACTTACTTGATGCCCCAACCATAAACACAAAAGCAGAGATGGAGATGGTGGGAGGTGGCCTCCTGATGGAGCCCCCAACCTGGAGTTGGTGCCCTGGTGCCATGCTTTGCCCACGAATGCGGGCGGGACCTGGGCATTCCACTAATGAAGAGTATCGCACAGGAAGTCCCAGGACGTCGCTTGCCAGCTTGGGTTCTAAACGACTGTGACTTCTGTCTCAGGACCCTGCTCCGCCTTGCTTGCTCACTTGAAGGCCAGCTGCCAGGTCGTGGGCTGCCCTCGGGGGACGGGGCGAAGCAAGAAATCCAGGGAGGCTCAGGCCAGCAGCCAGCGAGGCATCCTGGCTGTCACTCAGCTGCCCACAGGAGCCTGGATCCTGCCAACAGCTCTGAGAGAGCTGGTAAGCAAATCCTGCCCTGCTGAACCTCGAGGTGGCTGCGGCCTTGCCTGGCACCTGCCCTGCAGCCCAGGGGAGATCCTGAGCCAGAGGACCCAGCAGAGCCGCACCCAGGTTCCTGCCCCAGCAGCGTGAGCCGCCGCGTCCTGGGGTAACTTGTCACCCAGCCGTAGGTGACAAGGCAGGGACGTCACTTCCTTGGCTTCCCTGGAAGCAGATACTCCGGAATTTGGGGCGCAACAGACTCTTGATTAGCTGAATGCCACTAAGCTCCCCGATGCCTGCAGCCAAGTCACTGTCCACCTCTGGGCACCAGAGTCACTGGAAAGACAGACTGCAGGCCACACCCCCGGACGCCCCCGGCCAGCGGTTTAGGGTGCAGCCTCAGAATCTGCATTTTAAAACATCTCCAGGTGCTGCGGAGGCTGCCGGTTTGGGGACCCCAGTTTGAGAACCACTGGACGAGACTGCGATGCACCGGCTCTGAGTTCTCTCTCTGTGCGGGCGGAGTTCCAGGCCAGCCGTTCCGCCCAAGCAGTCCTCGTTTACATCTGCTCAGTGCACTGGACGTTTTGGCACGAGCGCATCTCAGAAAAGAGGTGTGGCAGGGTGGGCGCCTGGCGCAGCAGCTAAGATGCCACTCAGGACGCCTACACCCCTAGTGGAGCTCCTGGACTGAGTCCTGGCTCCTCCATTAATTTAATATATTCGAAGGGCAGAGTTACATAGAGAGAAATACAGAGGGATTGAGAGAGAGTGAGAGAGAGAGGGAATTTTCCACCTGCTGGTTCACTCCCCAAATGGCTGCAATGGCCAGGCTGAAGCCAGAAGTTCCTGGTCCCCCACATGGGTGGCAGGGGTCCAAGCACTTGGGCCAGCTTCTGCTGCTTTCCCCCAGGTATATTAGCGGGGAGCTGGATCAGAGGCGGAGCAGCTGGAACTCAAATCGGTGCTCATATGGGATGCTGGTGTTGCAGGCTGCTTAACCTGCTAAGCCACAACACCGGCCCCCTGCTTTCTCCATTTCTGATCCCAGCTTCCGGCTAATGCTCACCCTGGGAGGCTGCAGGCGACAGCTCAAGTGCTTGGATCCCTGCTATCCGTATGGGAGACCAGGATGGGGTTCCGGGCTCCTACTTTCAGCCTGGCCCAGGCCTGATTGTTGCAGGCATTTGGGTAGTGAACCAGCAGATGGGAGAACTCTCTGTCTCTCTTACCTCTCTTAATTTGTGAAATAAATAGAATAGTGGCCAGCACTGTGGCATAGCAGGGAAAGCCACCACTTGGACACCGCCATCCTGTATGGGCGCCACTTCCTGTCCCAGCTGCTTCACTTTCAATCCGGTTCCCTGACAAAGGCCTGGGAAAGCAGTGGGAGACGGCCCAAGTGCTTCAGCCCCTGCACCTGCGTGGGAGACCCAGAAGAAGCTCCTGGCTCCTGGCTTTGGGCTGGCCAAGCCCCAGCCGTTGTGGCTATCTGGGGAGTGAACCAGTGGATGAACGATTCTCTCTCTCTCCCTCCCTCTCTCTGTAACTCTGACTTTCAAACAAATAAATAAGTCTTAAAAATAAATAAGAAGAAAAAGTAAGGTCCAGTGTGAAACCTCTGTACTTACGGGGGGTGGGGAGTTATTCAGCCTTAAAGGAAAGAAATCCTATGACACTGCTACACCATGGACAAACCTTGGGGCTCTAGGCCGGGCGAAGCAAACTGGTCACCAAGGACAAATTCTGCGTGACTGCACTCAGTGAGCATCCAAGGGAGCCGACGTCACCAAGGTTGGTGCCCAGGGGTGGGGGCGGGAGGAGGGCTGGAAGGAGGTGGTGCTGTGTGAAGGGGCGGAGCTTCAGTGTTGCAAGAGGAAGGGTGAACCTGCTTCAACTGGTGCTGGGGCGCCTAACACCACCGTGCGGTGCACGCCCACCCGATCACGGTGTCACGTAGTCTTCAGCACGGTGAGAAACAAAACACACAGCTTCTGTTCCATACGCCCAGTGAAGGCAGGGTGGGGCCCGGAGACTAGAGGCGGAGACAGGCAGGTGAGAGACAGCTCACGAGGATTGCAACTCCCTCTCTGTAAGCCAGCGTGCTTGTTTCGGCTGGAGGAGTCATTGCCAAAATTGCAAATTCATCCTGAGGGTCAGTCTTCCTGCAGCTCTCTGCAGTCCAGGAAAGCACCAGCACAGCACCAGGGTCACCCAGGGCTTCGCCTGTGGTCCTGCGCTACCCTGAACCAGGTTAGAAATGTCCCAGGGCTGTGGCGTAGCAGGTAAAGCCAGCGCCTGCAGTGCCAGCATCCCATATGGCGCCTGTTTGAATCCCGGCTGCTCCTCTTCCTATCCAGCTCTCTGCTATGGCCTGGGAAAGCAGTGGAGGATGGCCCAAGTCCTTAGGCCCCTGTACCCATGTGGGAGACCTGGAAGAGCTCCTGGCTCCTGGCTTTGGGTCAGTGCAGCTCTGGCCTGTGTGGCCATTTGGGGAGTGAACCAGTAGATGGAGGAACTCTCTCTCTCTCTGCCTCTGCCTCTTTGTAACTCTCTGTAACTGCCTTTCAAATGAATACATCTTTTTTAAAGAAAGAAAGAAAAAAACGAGCCAGAGAACTTTCTGCTCAAGGCCATGTGGGGTCACCAAGGGCCTTCTGTCCCTCACCCCTCATCAAGGCACCCCGTGCCAGTCAGCCCCGTCCGCTAAGTCCCACCTCCTGCTGCAGGCTGGCTCAGGCCTCTTCACTCTCCCACCTCCACCATGGGCGCAGCCTCCAAGCGCATCGTCTATACAGGCCAATTCCTAGCTCCTGAGGCCTCAGCTCCCAACTCCTCCCTGCACACCCAGGACCCCCGCCCCTCCTCCCCCTGCACATCTCCAGCATCGCAGCAACTGCCCTTGTCTGCTCACACAGCAGGACCCAGCCCTTCCTCGTTTCCAAGCTTGGGACCCGCACACACCAGGCTCACAGCCGGGGATGACGGCAGCTCCCGGTTACCGAGCACCTACAGCGGGTCACACTACTACACAATGCCTGTGTAGATTTCCCCACTTTACAGATGAGCAAAAACATGCACAGAGAAGTTAAGCTGCTCATTAAGGGTTACACAGTGGGGCTGGCGCTGTGGCATAGTGGGTAAAAGCCACCGCCTGCAGTGCCGGCATCCCATATGGGTACCGGTTCAAGTCCCAGCTGCTCCTCTTCCGATCCAGCTCCCTGCTATGGCCTGGGAAAGCAGTAGAAGATGGCCCAAGTCCTTGGGCCCCTGCACCCACATAGGAGACCCAGAAGAAGCTCCTGGCTCCTGGCTTCGGATCAGCACAGCTCTGGCCATTGCAGCCATTTGGAGAGCGAACCAGTGAGCAGATGGAGGACCTCTCTTTGCCTCTGCCTGTCTGTAACTCTACCTTTCAAATAAATAAATAAATATTTTTTAAAAAAAGGGTCACATGGTTAGTAGCTGCTGACTTCCAGGCACAAGCCAGGCACGGGGCTGTGCCCGCTAAGCCGTGTTGCAACGTGGGTTAGAGCGAGACGTCTGCTACTCTGCTCGCTGCTGCCAGTGGCTGCGGCACAGCGGGGAACCCGGGCACGTTGACAGGACCGGCTGGGTGAGGAAATGTATCAAAGGGCCTGTGCCACTTCCTCACGCGCTACCTGTGTGATGCGATCAGAGCCTTTCAGAGTCGCTCTGTCCCACACACTTCCCAGAGGCGGCATCCGCTCAATTCGGTCTCCAATCAGCAGGTTTTAAGCACTTAGCGCACGCCAAGCGGTGTGCCTGGTACCGAGCCACAAAACTAAACAGGACAGCGGGTGAAACAGCACTTGCAACGCCGGCGCCCCACAGTGCAGTATTCAAGTCTCGACCTTGGATGAGGCAACTTTAAAAAATTCATGGAGGAGGCCTGCAGTGACGCAGTGGGTTAAAGCCACCACCTGCAATGCTGGCATCCCATATCGGCACCGGTTTGAGTCCCGGCTTCTCCACCTCCAATCCACCTCCCTGCTACTGTGCCTGGGAAAGCAGCACAGGATGTCCCAAATGCTTGGGCCCCTGCACCCACGTGGGAGACCCTGAAGAAGCTCCTGGCTCCTGGCTTCAGATTGGCACAGCTTCAGCCATTGTGGCTATCTGGGGAGTGAGCCAGCTGATGGAAGACCCCTCTCTCTCTCTCTCTCTGCCTCTGCCTCTCTGTATCTCTGCCTTTCAAATAAATAAATAAATAAATAAATCTTTATACAC